ACACGATGTCTTTGTGACAGAGATCAGCACCAAGATGATCGAGTCGGGTGACGATGCGATCAACTGGACTACTTTCACCTACTTCTACCGAAGGTTGCTTGCTAACCCAAGTTATTATAGCTTGACAAGCACAACGCATGAGGGACTCAGCAACTACATGTCTGACTTGGTTGAGACAACTCTCCGTGAGCTCAGCGAATCCAAGATCATTGAGTTTGACGAGGATGACGGATCCGTGGCGCCTCAAAACGCAGCCATGATTGCGGCATACTACAACATTTCCTACATCACGATGCAGACTTTCCTGCTCTCTCTGAGCGCTCGCACAAAGCTCAAAGGTATCATGGAAATCGTCACTTCAGCAACAGAGTTCGAGTCGATCCAGATTCGACGTCACGAGGATGGTCTGTTGCGACGCATTTACGACCGAGTGCCTGTCAAGATGTCTGAGCCAGTTTATGACTCCCCTCATTTCAAAACATTCGTCTTGCTCCAGTCTCACTTCTCTCGTATGCAGCTGCCAATTGATCTTGCAAAGGACCAGGAGATCCTGCTGTCGAGGGTGTTGAGCCTTCTCAGTGCCATGGTCGACATTCTGTCTTCGGAGGGACATCTCAACGCCATGAGTGCTATGGAGATGTCACAGATGATCGTTCAGGCAATGTGGGATCGGGACAGCCCTCTTAAACAGATTCCTCACTTCTCACCGGAGGTTGTGAAGGTGGCTAATGAGTTTGGGTATGTATTGAGTGATGGATTGGACAGACCGTCAGCTAATGTTGTTCGCAGAATCAAGGATATCTTTGATTTCATGGAAGCCATGAACCCGGATGAGAATGCCGATTACAACAAGCTTGTTAAGCGACTTGGCTTGTCACAAAACCAACTGGCACAGGCCGCAAACTTCACAAACGACAAGTATCCTGACCTGGAGCTTGAACATGAGGTTCTTGACGAGGGTGAGATCAGGGCAGGTGAACCGGCCTACCTGAACGTCAAGATTGCTCGCAATTTGGAAGAGGAGGACGGCGATTATGACTCTACCGTACACGCACCATTCTACCCCTCCAAGAAGATGGAGAACTGGTGGCTGGTTGTTGGTGATGAGAAGACCAAGAGCCTCCTGGCGATCAAGCGAGTGACAATCGGGCGGGAACTGAACGTTCGCCTCGAGTACACTGTGCCATCGCCAGGTGAGCATGATCTGAAGCTGTTCCTAATGAGTGATAGTTATGTCGGAGTCGACCAGGAGCGGGAGTTTTCGGTTACAGCAGCCGAGGGCATGGATGTGGATGACGATGAAGAAGACGAGGACGAGGACGAAGACGAGGAGTAGAAGCTCACAGCTCAAAGCTCACTCTGAATTACAATTACCACGGCGACTGCCAGCGATGGCGTTGTACACTATTGAAGACTACGAATGCGGATTTAGGAGATAATAATCGAACTTATCAACTCGGGACCATGACTGAGAATGTGTGCTTTTGAGATGAGTTGTCTGGATACAAGGCGAGTTGTGTGGATGTCTAATAATGCACCACGAGTGAAAGAGGCGCGAGGTGTTGAGATCTAGTGTTCACAACGCCAAACGCGTCTAGAGAGAGCTAGGCCCACGACGTGACATTTGCCGGCAATTGGGCAGTGAAGATGGTGAGAAAAGAGACTACGGACGCGTCCCTCCGATAGTCTTGTATACCAGGGCGTCGAATCAGCGTCGACTACGCGCTGGGCCTTTGATGTCGTGTGTGAGAGGGAGAGAGCCTGGGGTTGGGGATGACGCCGCCCGCAGCGCAAATGCCAGATGGCCATCACGTGACCGATGCCTTGGTGACGTTTGAAAGTGCTTCTGTTTCCCTTGCAAAAGCCCAGTCCAGTCCCAGTCCCAGTCCAGCCCATCAACTCGCACCAGCGTTTTTTCCTCGTCAACCCCAACATCGCGGCACAACTCGAAGAGGCGCTCATCATCATCAATTGCGCAAATCATCACCAACACATCATCGCCATCGCTCTACGAACCTTGCGCTCCATTGACACGCGCAATACAGCATCCGCTACGCGTTCGCCCGTCTTTTGCGAGCTGGAATTCTTCTTCTAGCTCCTGTGATTTGTGGCAAGCGAAAACATTATCACCGCTACTGCCATGGCCGACCAGATTAACGAGAAGCCTGAGGTTGAGGCAACTGCTCCCGGCGCGCAGGAAGTTCCTGCCGCAGAGAAGCCCACTGAGCCATCATCGATCGGAAACGAGGCCGCAAAGGCCGATGGCGAGGCAAACAAGGAAGATACAAAGACCGCTGAGGGTAAGTTATGATTACGAAGCGTTTGCTATTCATTGCGCACTCGATCGCATTGCCATGGAAATCGCGCTTTGATATCTCGTGTGCTCTGTCGCTCAGGCGCGTCCTTCCCTTTGTCAGATCCATGCTGACCACATCGCGCAACAGAAACCAAACAAGCCGGAAACTCAGAGAAACCCGCCGAAGATAAAGACGCGGCCGAAGCACCAAAGGAGGACTCAAAGCCCACCGAGGAGGGTGCAGATACCGAAATGAAGGACGCGACTGAGGCCCCGGCTGCCGGGGAGACCAAGGCCGAGAACTCCGCTCCATCTGCCGATGGTGAGACAGCAACCGAAAACGCCGCCACCGAGTCTGCCTCAGTAAAGGCGAAGAACAATAGACGAAAGTCGACTGGTGGTGCCAGCCGCAAGAGCCTGAGCAAGAAGGCCTCCAAGGCGCGTCTCACGCATTTGGACGCCAAGCCCGGAGACCACTTCTTGGTCAAGCTCAAAGGTTTTCCCGCTTGGCCTGCCATCATTTGCGATGAATCAATGCTGCCACAAGCTCTGGTCGATAGCCGCCCTGTAGCTGCTGCGCGACCTGATGGCTCCTATACCGAGGCATATGCTGATGGTGGCAAACGTGTCAACGACAGAACCTTCCCAGTCATGTATCTTCATACGAATGAATTGTAAGTTGCATCTCACCAACTGTTTCCGACCATCGCTAATCTGACCACAGTGGCTGGGTACCCAATACTGGACTTACAGAGCTTACTCCTGAAAAGGCCAGAGAGACCATCACCGAGAAAATGCGCAAGGATTTGAAGGAAGCATTCTCGCTCGCTGCCGAACACAACTCCATCGAACACTACAAAGACGTGCTTAAACAATTTCAAGATGAACTGCTTGCCAAGCAGCAAGCTGCTGCGACACCCAAGAAGAGCAAGAAGGGCAAGGCCAAAGCTGCTGACGAAGACGTCGAGATGGAAGACGCCGACGATGCTTCAGAGAAGTCCAAGTCCAAGAAGCGCAAGGCTGAGGATGATGCCAGTGTAATTCTTCCAACACGGTCTTGCTGATTCATTTTGCTAACAAAACCGCTAGACACCACAACGGCCCGAATCCGTTAAGAAACCTAAGATTAAGCTCAATACATCAACGCCTAAGGCTGCTGCTAATGGCACTCCCAAGGCCAAAGAGGAATCTGCTGCCAAAGCCAAGGTCAAGGTCAAGAAGTCGTCTGATAAGAAGGCTGAGACCACCAAGAAGGCCAAGATGACGCCCGAGGAGCGAAGACACCACAAAGAGGTGAGATAAATACAAGTATTCTTTTTAGACCGATTAATTTACTGACAACTTTGCAGAAGGAAGTTTTATATCTCCGTCATAAGCTTCAACGAGGTCTCCTCACCAGAGATCAGCAACCCCAGGAATCAGAAATGGAGCACATGTCCGAATACGTCACCATGTTGGAGAATTTGAAGGATCTTGAGGTGTCCATCATTCGTGCGACCAAGATCAACAAGGTCCTCAAAGCTATTCTCAAATTGGAATCGATCCCCCGTGAGGACGACTTCCATTTCAAGGACCGTTCCAAGGTTCTTCTGGACCAGTGGACTCAGCTACTGGCTACTGAAAATGCCACCCCTGCTCCCGATGCCACCAACGGCGTCAATGGCAAGTCGGAAGCCAAGCCAGATGACAAGAAGGACGATAGTGGCAAGGAGACTACTGAAGAGCCAAAACCTGAGGCGACAAAGACGGAAGAAGCCAAGACTGAGAAGCCCGAGGAGACCGAGGAGGAGAAGATTGCGGAAACACCACAAGCATCAGCGCCAGAAGAGAAGAAGGACGAGGCAAGTTGAAAATAAGCCCTCTTGTTACGAGCCTGATTAACCGAAAAACAAGACCGTCGCTCCACCCGAGCCTGTTGAAGCTGCAGCCTAAGTCAGGGGTCAGCGCAGGGTGGTTTAGAACAATTTGTTTCATGGCGTCACGGTTATGGTCCACAAACAATGGTCTTTTTTCCCGATTTTCTGCTTTTTCCTATGCTTTTCTTTCACAATTATGGTAAAAGTGACTTCGTCGCGTTGCGTCTTTTCGGTATCTGTATGAATATCTGCCAAATCTGGCGGCAGGGGTGCGCCATGACTCTCTGGAGTCATAATGATCTCAGGAGTGACGGAGGCAAGAAACATTTTTTTGGAGGGACTGTACAAAGGGCAAAATCAACAATACTGGGTCAGGGGGCTCGCTTTACGTGGGTTTCTATAAACCAGATTGGACAGGAGACGAGCATGGTATGGATGTCAAGACGGCATATGGAGCGGGTGGCAAAGGAAGCGAAGGAAGCTCAAAGAATGAGATGATGGCCTTCGAGAGGAGGCATATGAGAATGAGAATTTGGGGAGCAATAGCATACAGATGATGAATGGGACAAAAGAATTAGAAGCATTCTATATAAACTGTCTTGTTTGTTTGCAATGAATAGTATAGGAACCCGCGCAGATCGTACATATAAGTCATTGTCTCCCTACTTAGGTATGTATGTATGTATGGACACGATCTTGCCCCCTGGTTGTCAGGATACAGTGCGCAGTACAGTGCTAGTATGTTCACATACTGTCTAAAACGCGTTGACCATTCACCCTCGATCCAAGCTCAGGAGCTTCTTCATCCTTCAAGATCCAATAGCTTTTGCAGCATAAAACCGTTGATCATGGCCCGTGAAGTAGTCAACCAGGATACATATAGCCAAGAGGATCATCAGGTAACTTGAACTCTTATCATGAGACTTGTGCAATGCCTTTCACTAACTCGGTCAATAGGTCGCATATATCTTCAACCCTGAAGACGACGGGACACGCCAAAAGCCAGCTAAGAGGAGAAGAAGATCTAAGCAGGGCCAGGAATCTGCAGAAATAGTGAAAGACTCATCAGTTTTTGTACCTCTTCTCAATGGAGCTGAGAAACCCGAACTCGTCAAATTAAGGGAGAGATTGTTCCAGGAGAGCTGGGCCAAGATTGATGAACGGATCGAGGTGAGTGAAGGAAACTTATTCACCAGATGTATCACTCACATAAATCAGAGAATACTCAAAACTTCAAATATCGAGACTCTCAATCAAGTCAGCGAGTTTGCCAAAGACGCGGTGACAGAATCGTAAGAGTCGTACTCCTGATATACCTGCAACCCCTAATATTTGGATAGTGGGGATAGAATCCCTTCAGCATTCATCATAACAGGGCCCAACATCGCATCACAAGATCTGCTCTTCCAACAACTATCGGAGACACTTCAGCAAACAACAACGAGCAAGTTTGTTGGCTTGCGGTCATCAGAGGCATCGACGCTGAAAGCCACTTTGAAGAAGATTATTCGAGATGTCACAGCCAAAGCCTCCACTGACGAGGAGGATGACCTTGAAGTCAGTGATGGTCGAGAGGTAAGTTGTCTGCATTTTCACAGAACAATTAATGCTCATTCTCTACAGGGACGAAGGTATCTCGACTATGATCTTGGTGCACTGTATGCATTCATCAGGCCTCAAAATGTAGAGCATGTGTTTGTCGCCTTTCAAGACAGTGAAGGTTTCGACAGCAGTTTATTATCGGATTTGATCATTCTCTTCAAGTACGTCTCTGTCTCGGACACTCCATTCACTGCTGCTAACACGTAAACAAGCTCTTGGCGCCCTCGTATACCATTTACTCTCCTCTTTGGTATCGCCACATCAGTCGAGCTTCTCCAAGCCAGACTACTCAAGGCCTCCTGTCAGCAAATTTATGGAGCGCAATTTGATGTGATTCAGACCTCGGCCATTCTCGAGACAGTCTTTAAAACAGCGGTAGCAACATCTGATGCTCCCGTAGTACTGGGGGCATCGCTCATCCGCAGCCTGCTTGATCGTCAGCACGACCAGGTTTCAGGCATTCAGACATTCACCATGTCATTGAAGGTGAGCTTCGAACAGACAATATGAACAAGTCTCATATCAGCTAACAAATGACAGTACGCTTATATGTGTCATTTCTATGCGAATCCGCTCAGCGTTCTCGAGCATACCGCATCGTTGCAAGCTGAGCATATCGAGGCCATTCGGCATACTGATTCTTTCAGGGAAAATGTTGAGCAGGCAGTAGAATCTGGCATCTTGGATAATGTGCAATACGCCAAAGATTTGCTCGAGAAGGACGATTTTCTTGTTACGCGAGTTCAAGATAGTCTAGCCCGTCGTCAAGAGTCGGTTGAGGATTTCTTGCGGTCACTTCGTATTCTCGGAGAAACAGAATCGCAAGACATTGAGTTCTCAAGAGCATACGTGGAAGCCTTGGATGAGGGCGTTTCAATCACTGAGGACTCTAGAGCTATTGAGTCGGTACGGCGTATGGATGTCAGCGAGCTGCTGGTCATGCTTCGCAAGGTTGTATCAATCTTGCAGGAAGGGGACCGCGGCGTACTTCTCGGTCCAGCATCGAAGCAAACGGACGTTGAATTCCGAGATGCACTGACAAGGCAACTTGTCAATCTGGAAGAGCTACAATCAAGGGCAGAAGAGCAAGGGATTATACTACGGAGCAAGTACAGCGGACAGAGCAAAGTGATGCGCACAACTGTGATTGCACAAAGAGTTCAATTGAGTCAAGACTCGGCTGCACTTACGGATGAAGACAAGCAACTTACTCAAGCCGTCGACGACATCACGGGGCTATTAATCAGGCATGTTCAGTTTGTCAGACCCAGGTCTCTTTTGTTGTCGGAGAGCTGGTTATACGATTCCCGAGCTCCTTCGCGAGACGTGTTCGTGCCTCGACCACGGGCAGTTCTAGAACGCAGCCTCACCAGGCCGCACGACTATTTGTCATGTTCATGCTGCAAGCCAGGGGATGGGGAAACGCCGGCCACTCTGCCGGCCACGGCGCTCTTATACCGTCTATACACAGAGACTGGGAGCCTCATCAACGTGGCAGATCTCTGGGCAGCATTCTCAGCGCTTGTAAGCGAGGAGGAAACAGACGAACGCAAGTCGCTGGTAATGTTTTACCGTGCGCTGGCGGAGCTGAGGGCTTTGGGATTCGTCAAAGCAAGCAAGAAGAAAACGGACCACATTGCCAAGCTGAAGTGGCTCTGAGGATGGAGAATTACGATTGCATTGGTCGACAAAGTTTGAGAAAGAGAGACATGGTGAGAAGATTGAAGTCTGCAACCGCCAAATGGGGATGGTCCTTTGTATTTGAGGGGATGAGACGGGATTGGGTTTTTTTTTTTTGTGGGGGGGGGGGGGGGAGAGGGGGGTTTGAGATGGGAACCGAGGTCGAGCCCAATGGCTACTGAGAGACCTAGTGAGAGAAAAGGTGTCGTCAGTCTAAGACATTGAAGAAACTAAGACACGAGGTGGCTGGGAACCAAGAGCGAGTGAGACTATGAGTCCTAGGGAGTTTGAGTGTATGAGAGTGATTGAGATAGAGAGTGAGAGAGAGAGTGTGTGGGAGTGAAAGTGGAGGGTGAAAGGTCAAGTCAGTCATGGTTACAGCCAACGCAGCAAAATCCAAGACATGCAGGTAGAGACTCAGACAGGCATGATTAGACGCCGGGAGCGGAGGGAACTGCATAGAACAAAGCATCATGTGAATGAACGATAACGGTGAAGGGCTATAATGAGGTCTCAGTTGGTCAAGCTACTATACCTACCTACGTAAGGTATCTACCTACCTACCTACTCTACGTACACTTACACTCAAGGGATTGCCATTATAATCAATCAATCAATGGAAACAATGGACCAAAATTGGTAGGGAGAGGAAGAAAGAAAGAAGAAATAAAAAAAGAGTAGCGGTAAAGAGCCTGTAACTAACTATGTATCTCATTGTCTTGCTTTTGAGTCATGACCAACTAATGGCTCCAAGTCACATTCCACTCCATCCGCGCTCACTGTTGGTATCTCTTGTTCCCATAGACATAGCGCCTCGGACCAACCCAATTGCGTCTAACGCAGGTCGAATCGAGTTATTGTTTGTTGGAGACTCTTGCATGTCTCAGAGGCGGCCACGCCAAAGCCAGAGTTAAACCCTGGAGCTCAAACCGGTTCAAGGCCCTAAGCTGGTCGATTTCAGGCAGTCAAAGAAGCCTTTACCCAGAACAGCATCTCGTCTGGGTACTCTCCTCGCCTGGGGCTTGGGCTTGGGCTTGGGCTTGGGCTCAGAGTCGGGGGGTGTGTGGGTTAGATGCCTAGGTAGAGATATCAGAGAAACGTTATTAGCTGCTCAGTCGAGCTGGGCTGTTCACTCACTGGGCAAGGCCCTGTTCCAAGGCCAATCGAACGGCTTCGGTCACAAAGACCCTTCAACTGGCTGTTCGCGATCTTAGCCTTGCTTTTAGTTCCCAGACCCAAGGACCCAAAGACCCAAAGGGCGGGGAGGGATCTTGCTTTAGTATCAATCAAGAAAGAAAGAGAGGTCATGATCTTGTTTCAACTAGAAAAGTCTCATCCATAGCATGCATGCGTGCACGCACGCATGCATAGCCTCTTGTCTGTTATATATCCCTTCCCGCCCTCTGCTCTTCTGTCCGCCTCTGTTCCTCTGAATAACCAAAGCTGGACCTCCCCGCGGATCAAGGAATTGACTACGAAACTCAAACAAGAGTCTGTGTTGTCACTCCTTCATTCAGCAATTCATTCATTCATTCATTCATTTACTTAACTTAACTTAACTTCCGGTAAAGACAGCTTGGTTCGCTTCGCTTGTCGATAGCCAACCCCGCCAAAGCCAATCCGTCCACCATCGCATCACGTATGATCTTGTGATCGTTGATCATAGAGACCCAAGACCAAGAAATATTCTTAATCAGAAACTGAATCTGAATCTGAATCTTGCAGAGAATAAGAGATTGGGCTGTCTTGACCTCTTGACTACTACTACTACTACTACTACTACTACTACCACTACAAATACTCGATACATCATTGCTCCCAGACACTCAATCTCTTGTCTTCTTCTCTTCTTCCAACACTCGCCATCGTCACCACTTACAACAACCGTCAGAATGATGCGAGGAGAGATCCCTTCACGGCATCACAGGGCCCTTGGCCAGCGAAGACTCGCAAAGAACCCAAATCTCCAACGAAAACTGGAACAGATGGCTCTTCCACTTGCACCTCTTGTCCAGCTCACCACTGGCGCTGTCCATCCTTCTTTTCCCACCACCGTCCTCAACTTTTGGCTCCTCACCGACGAGCAGCTGGAGTCTCTTGCGCATTTCTACCACCAGAGGACGCCATCGCCTTGGACAAATCAGTACCCCTGCCCTGTCACCTGGAGATCTGATCTGCCTCTTGAGGAGAAGCGACGCAAGATGGGCAAGTTTATCGGTCTTCGGGGCTGCGAATCTCCAATCCTTCTCAAGACAGAGGAGGAGATCCTAGCAGAGGCACGAAAGGCGAGGCTTGCAGCCGAAGAGGATCTTTGGAGGCGAAAGCACTTTTCCTAATGCAACCAGCAGTCCGAGGCCCCCGGTGTTATCTGTGATTAATAATGGGGGGACAGTCTGCTTTCAATCTTTTGGGGGGAGGGGTTATTGGATTTACTGATACAGGCAGGCGTTTTGCATATCCTTTCTGCGTCCTTTCTGCGTGTTCTCTGCATTCCTGTTACTGCATATTGGGTCGGTCGCATTGCTAGACATGGCCACTAGCCAGCGTGCATCACTGCATTTTCAAGGGATCAAGGCGAGGTGAAAGAGCCTAAACATATATATCAATAGAGAAGAAGCCCATGCTACTATTTTCAAAAATAAAAAATATCAACCCTCAACGCCGCTGGTGTGGATTTCCCTCCCGTCTTCCCATGCACGCGCCATGAAGAGTGTGCGCCTTGCAACAAAGTGACATGTGGTATACTACAACCAACATTTGAAGAGGTACCTAGGTCCGGAACCATGTGTATATATACCTATAAAGACACCTCCAATCCCATATTCTTGTAACCCACACAAGACATGTCCAAACTGTCTATTTCTTGCCCTTCTTCTTCGAAGGCGTGTCAACCATCACGGCATCCTCCTCACTGGCAGTCTTGGCAGAAGAGCTCTGCTCAGAGCCGTCGAGCTCCTTCATGAACTCTGACTGGATCTGTCCTCGGCGCTTCTCCCACCACTGCTTCTCTGACTCGGCTTGGGCGAGGATCTCTTCGATTGAGCTGCGCATGGTAGCATTGGCCGTCATTTCGTGCGCGGATTGGAAGATGGACTGGCCCCAGTTTGGTGCGAGAGCGTTGGCCTATAGTTGGTTGTCAATGCTATGTTTATCTCTTGCAATCGCACTGCTCCGGCTATCATACCTCTGTCACGACATCTCTGAGCTCCTCCTCCATCTCCTTCTCGGCGCGCTGGAATCGCTGCCACAGATCATCGCCCACACTGCCTCGTTGCAGCAGAGAACCACATGCTTGCTTCGCAGACTTGATCTGGATCAGACGACGGATATCTTCGACGGCGCGACGCAAAAGGGCAGCTCGTAGGACGCTTTCGGGAATCTTGGGGCCCTTTTCGGAGCCGTCCTCGAGGTGTAGCAGGGACAGGTAGACGTTGCGCTGGAGGTGAGGGCCGAACCACGGAGCCAAGTTGGCGCTCTCAGCTTTGGCATGTCAGCATATTCATCAGTTTGGCGATCTGTTTCTGTGGCATACCAGCTTTTCTTTTTCGGTAGATTGTCGAGAATGTCATGAGTGCGCTGCCGAGGACGAGAACATAGGCAAAGGGGAGGGCAAGGCCCTTCCAATCGATGTTGAACATGACGAACGATGAAAGTTGCAAAAAGTAGAATACGAGATCGTCCGTGATGTAATTAAAAAGAAAACGAGTGTAAAGAAAGAAGTCGAGCCGGCCGTGACTTGGGTTTTGGTTTGTATGAGTCGAGTCCCACGTATAGACAGACACGAATGCAATAAGGTATAATACCTAAAGGAACTGTCCAATTGGTGGTGGTGTGGCGTAGATTCAACTTTAGGCCAGATTACGCTTCGGCTCCTAACAAGTGGCTCCCGGGATTGTGGCTGGTGCATATGCCAAAGTACTGTATGCTGCCAGGCGCACGGGATGGGCCCTGGATTTTACTGCGGTGCGACGTCACTCGAGCATTAGATAAGCAATCGCAGGCACCGCTAGATGACGCTGTGCTCGAGTTAGCAGAGGTACATGGTTTCCTGTGAGCCACCTTAGGTAAGATACGTACCGAGTCCAGAGCTACCACCGCTCAACTTCACTTTCTTCATGCTCTTGATTCATTGCGTTTCAGCTCCAACTTCTAGGCTCTTCTTTTTCGTTCCCACTCATCTCCCAGCTGTTCTCTTTCTATAGACTCTCTCTCTCTCTCTCTCTCTCTCTCTCTCTCTCTACAAATCGAGAATATTCAACCTCCAAACGCACCAAAGAGAGCACTAAACACCCCACCATACACCATACGCCATACGCCATCATAGCGACAGCTCTTGAGATATCCTTCACCATGTTGCTGCGACTCCGCGGTCCCGATGGCATGGCCCGTCTGAATGTCGAGCCCACAACTACCTTTGGAGATCTGGGAAAGCTGGTCTGTTGTCTCGGAGCCCGCACCCAGCTGTCTGTGCTAACTCTAGCCCTTCTAGCTGCTCGATCAACTACCCAAGACCGTTAATCCCAAAACTATAGCTCTATCGAACGCACCGAACGGGGGAGAGTCAAAACGCCTAGGGGACATCATCAACTTCAAAGTTGGTCAGATTGGCCTCAAGTTAGTCGCCCTCATGACCTCTCAAGGATCAGCCAAACTAACCTCGAACATAGGCACGGCGATCTCATCTTTCTCACCTACCAACATGCCGACGCTGCCAACGGTGACGCACCCGAAATCTCTAACACATCTGCCAGGCTTAACGGAAAACCCGTCCTACCGACCGAAGACCTCCCCATCAACCCCAAACCCGAAAGGATCGCCAGGCCGTGGGAAGTAATTCGCCAATCCGCCTTGGACGACCGATTAGACCGACAGGATGGCAAGATCCCCCGAGGCATCGATCGCATGTGTCGCCATGGTCCCAAGGGCATGTGTGACTACTGCCAACCCCTCGATCCTTTCAACCCTGGATATCTCGCGGAGAAGAAGATCAAATACCTGTCCTTCCACTCGTACCTACGAAAGATCAATGCTGCGACCAACAAGCCCGAGCTAGGCGCTTCATACATTCCTCCCCTGGTTGAGCCCTACTATCGAGTCAGGCATGAGTGCCCTTCTGGCCACCCCCCTTGGCCTGAGGGTATCTGCACCAAGTGCCAGCCCAGCGCCATTACTCTCCAGCCTCAACAATTCCGAATGGTCGATCATGTCGAGTTCTCTTCGCCTGCTATTATCGACACCTTTATTGACACCTGGCGAAAGACCGGATCGCAACGTCTAGGTTATCTCTACGGAAAATACACCGAGTACACTGAAGTCCCGCTCGGTGTTAAGGCTGTCGTGGAAGCCATCTATGAACCTCCGCAGGTTGATGAGCTCGATGGCATCACAGTGAACGCCTGGGAGTCGCAAAAGGAGGTCGACAGGGTCGCCAAGCAGTGCGGCCTAGAGCCCGTCGGAGTGATCTGGACTGACCTGCTGGATGCTGGCAACGGCGATGGCACAGTGGTTTGCAAACGCCACGCCGACTCTTACTTCTTGTCCTCCCTCGAGATTTGCTTTTCTTCGAGGTTGCAAGCTCAGTACCCCAAACCCTCCAAGTGGAGTGACACAGGCAGCTTTGGTTCAAATTTTGTCACATGTATCATCACCGGTAATGAGCAGGGCGAGATTTCCATCTCCTCCTACCAGATGTCCAACGAGTCTGTGGAAATGGTTCGTGCTGACATTGTTGAGCCGTCAGCTGACCCTAATGTCATGCTTGTACGCGATGAGGAGGAAGACGACGGGTCTGTGAGTCGCACAAGATATATCCCCGAAGTTTTCTACCGCAGGGTCAACGAATACGGCGCCAACGTCCAGGAGAACGCCAAACCATCATTCCCCGTCGAGTATCTGTTTGTCACGCTGACCCACGGTTTCCCTGCGGACCCTAAGCCTATGTTCACTCAGCAAGGCTTCCCCATCGAGAACAGAGAATATGTCGGAGAGAGCCAAGAGCATTCTGCTCTGTCCAAGTTTGTCAAGCAATCACCTGGCCAGAAGCCCACGGGCCAGGAGGTCTCCAACTTTCACCTTCTCTGCTTCATTCACCAGATGGGCATCCTCTCCAAGGTGCGCTTGTTTTTGACATGTATGAAGAAAGCTACTGACAGGCTTCATAGGACGAAGAAACCCTGCTCTGCCGCGTAGCGAGCCAGCACGATCTCGCCGATACATTCCAGCTCCGTTCTACCGAGGGTTGGCAAACCCTTAAGGCCATCCTTCAATCGACTGGTGAGAGAATCCCCAAACGTCAGCGGGAGGAGGACGGTGCCCCCTCGCCCTCTTCCTCCTCCTCCTCTTCTTTTCAAAATTCCATTCGCGACTCGGGAGAACCCCTTGCTAAGCGATTTGCTGCCTTCAGGCTAAACGAGCGCTGGACCAAGTCCGCCAATCCACCGCCGCCCTAGTCAACAAAGAGGTATTGGGTACAAGGGAAGAATAGTAGGGGGGTCAGATAGAGGCTTAGATGAGACGTGGAACCCAAATAGTGGTGGGGCTGGATTCGGTTTTCTTGCTAGATATTTTCTTAACTTCCTTCATGTGGAAGATGATATTGCATGTATAGCCTGAGGCGGCGTTAAGGACAGGTATCGGAGCATATAGGCAATGCTTTCATTGGGGTGACTCCCTCAACTTGAATCAAAATATTTATGCATGTTTGCATGTGCTTTGCCGCGATTTTACTGAATGATGCCCATCATGTTGGCGCTTCAAGAGTGCAAAGAGCGAAGTTGCGATCACAGTCAGCTTGATTCCAGCCAAGGGGATTGCAACTTGGGAAAATAATCATCATGGTTAGGACGTATTCCAGTTACGATGATTACACTGCTGTGTCAAATAACTTCACAAATACCACAAAGTCAGGAGAAAGATGTTTAATTTATGCTCACTTTAGATACATAACTTGAGTAAAGGATGTCATGAACTTGTCATATTTGTAGAATTGACTACTAATATTATCATAAAGGTTTATCACACACACACTCGAATAACTCCCAAATCCACCCCTTTTCCAATCACAAAAACGCCAGTTATAATTTACAGGGGCTTTCCACCGATGAAGTCGGACCATCGGCGGACTTCAGCGGGGATGCCTTCAGGGCGGGGCAGCTTCTCGCTCATGCACTGAGCAAAGAGGATAGCGGTTTGAGGCTCCATGAACAGGGGGACGCCGAAATCGACGGCATTTCGGCGCATAACATAGTCGACGTCCAGCGTGGTCTTGCCTCGGGTCTGGGCCAGGTTGAAGCATCCACGGATGTCGTACTTCTTGAAAACCTCACGGAGGGCACGCTTGTCCTCCTTGGGGAATTCGATAACCTCGACCTCGACCTTGGTCTTGGACTTGTTCTCGATGAACTCCTTAACCTCGGGACTAGCGGCGTACAGCTTGTAGCCAAGAGGGGCAACATAGTCGACGACCTGGGTAAGCCATGGCTTGGAGACATTTCCACCGAAGAGGAGACCCTCGCCAGGCTCGGGCATGCGGAAGTTCATGGTGGACTGGAGAGAGGTCCAGTAGGCCTCAATGAGATCCTTACCGAAGCAGGCAATCTCACCGGTGGAAGCCATCTCAACACCGAGGAAAGGGTCGGCACCAGCGAGACGGGTCCAGGAGAACTGAGGAACCTTGGTAGCAACATAGTCGCGCTTCTCAGCCATGGGGTCAGACTTGGCAGGAACCTGCTTGCCGACGAGGGCCTTGGTAGCAACATCGATGAAGTTGGTTCCAAGGACCTTGCTGACGAAGGGGAAAGATCGAGAGGCGCGAAGGTTGCACTCAATGACCTTGAGAAGGGGCTCGCCACCCTCGGGGTTCTCGGCCTTGATGATTTGCATGTTGAAGGGGCCGCTGATCTTCCAGGCTGCGGCAACCTTGACAGCAATCTCCTTGACACGCTCCATGGTGTTGCTATCGAGGTTGGCAGGGGGGAGAACCAGAGTGGCGTCACCGGAGTGAACACCGGCTTGCTCAACGTGCTCGGAGACAGCATGAATGATGAGCTCGCCGTTGGAAGAGACACCGTCAACATCGATCTCTTGGGCACCCTCAATGAACTTGGTGATGACAACGGGGTGGTCGGGAGAGACATTGCTGGCAGCCTCGAGCTTGTCCTTGAGATCTTCCTGGCTTGAGATCACAGTCATGGCAGCGCCGGACAGGACGTAACTAGGGCGGACGAGAACGGGATAGCCAACCTCCTCGGCGAACTCCTCAGCAGCCTTGACGGAAGTAAGCTCCTTCCAGGCAGGCTGGTCGACACCAATGCTGTCAAGGATCTCAGAGAACTTCTGACGATCCTCTGCCTTGTCAATATCCCTGGGGTCAGTTCCAAGGACATTGGCTCCGCCAGTCTCCTGGAGCTTGAGGGCAATGTTCTGGGGAAGCTGGCCACCGACGGACACAACGACACCCTTGGAATTCTCAAGCTCGTAGATATCCATAACACGCTCATAGCTCAACTCTTCGAAATACAGCTTATCAGCCGAGTCGAAGTCTGTGCTCATTGTTTCTGGGTTATACTATCATCAAATATTAGTCTAAGCCCATTAAAATGATTGTAGAAGTTATGAGGAGTTTTAGGATGATGTTTGAAAAGCTCCGGCTCGAAGTGGGGCCGTGTTGACGGCGACACCGCATAAGGAAGAAACGCCTGATTGGGATGAAAGGGAGAATGTAAACTTACGTTAATCATGATGGTCTTCTCGCCCATCTGCTGGAGAGCCTGAGTGGCGCTGACAGCACACCAATCGAACTCGACGGAGCTACCAATTCGGTAAACACCGCTACCAAGGACAATAGTACCGTTGTCCTCGAAAGTGACATCGTGAGTAGAGCCGTTGTAGGTGGTGTAGAGGTAGTTGGTGTTGGCGGGGAACTCGGCGGCCAGGGTGTCGATCTTCTTGACCCAGGGTCGGATGCCGAAGCTGAGACGGTAGGCTCGGACCTCGTCCTCGGTGCTCTTGACGGCCATGGCGATCTGTCGGTCGGAGAAACCCATCTTCTTGGCCTTGAGGACCTGATCTTTCTTCAGGTTCTGAAGACCACCAGCCTGCTCAAGCTCCCGGGTACAGTCGACGATGTTCTGCAGCTTGTGGAGAAACCACTTGTCAATCTTGGTCAGCTCGTGGACCTTGTCAACAGAGTAATTCTCGTGAAGCATGGCCTGGCCAACAGCGAGCCATCGGCGGTCCGTAGGGTTCTGGAGCTCAAAGTCGAGGTCCTCGAACTTGTCACCCTGGAAGCCAACAAATCGGGGGTCAACCTGACGAATGGCCTTCTGGAAAGACTCCTCAAAGGTTCGGCCGATAGCCATGACCTCACCAACAGACTTCATAGCACTGCCGATGTCGCGCTTGACGTGCTGGAATTTGGAGAGATCCCATCGGGGAATCTTAGTGACGATGTAGTCGAGGGAAGGCTCGAAGTTGGCAGTGGTGGTCTTGGTGACAGCGTTGGGGAGCTCGGGAAGGGTGTGTCCAAGACCGATCTTTGCAGCAGTGTACGCGAGAGGATATCCGGTAGCCTTGGAGGCCAGGGCAGAGGATCGGGAAAGACGGGCGTTGACCTCAATAACACGGTAGTCGAGACCATCAGGCTGGAGAGCGTACTGGACGTTACACTCGCCAACAACACCAAGATGTCGAACAATCTTGATGGCAGCGCTTCGAAGCATGTGATACTCCTCATCGCTCAGGGTCTGACTAGGCGCAACTACAATGGAGTCACCAGTGTGGATGCCAAGAGGATCGAAGTTCTCCATGTTGCACACAGTGATACAGTTGTTGTTGGCGTCACGAACGACCTCGTACTCGACTTCCTTCCAGCCCTTGAGCGACTTCTCGACAAGGATCTGAGGAGAGAGGGTAAGAGATCGAGCGGCCATGTTGCGGAGCTCCTCCTCGTTGTTGGCGAAACCGGAACCCAGGCCACCTAGAGCATAGGCAGCACGGACAATGATGGGGTATCCGACGGTCTCGGCGGCTTCGAGAGCCTCCTCGATAGTGCCGACGGCAATCGACTTGGCAATGGGGATGTTAATCTCATCCAGAGCCCTGGCGAAGAGGTCACGATCCTCGCTCAGTTCCAGAGTTCGGACACTGGTGCCGAGGACCTTGACGCCATATTTTTCAAAGAGGCCGAGTCGCTGCATCTCAACGCCGAGGTTGAGAGCAGTCTGACCACCGAATGACAGGAAGATGCCGTCGGGCTTCTCCTTCTCGATGACATAGGAGACATACTCGGGGGTAACGGGGAGGTAGTAGACCTCGTCAGCCAGACTGTGGTTGGTCTGGATGGTAGCGATATTGGGATTGATGAGGACAGAAGCAACGCCGGCTTCCTTGAGGGCCTTGAGAGCCTGAGCACCTATATTTCGAGTGTGTTAATTTTGAATGTTGGAAAATGAGTTTTGGTGGTGAGTCGCAAGTTGTCGGGGAGATAGATGTGCGTCACTGCATAATATTGGGTATGCTAACCTGAGTAGTCGAACTCTCCGGCCTGTCCAATGGCAAGACCACCACTTCCAATGACAAGGACCTTCTTGACATCAACGGTCTGGTGAGGCTTGATAACTCCACTGTCGAGGTAGGCCTTGGGGTTGGGTGCATCCTGGACAGCGGCGGAGCTGTAGGCACGCATAACCTTGAGGGTGCCCAGGCGCTTCGAGTTGGCGGGGCGGGCAGAGGCGATTGAGACTCGGCATGATGCAGATGCAGATGCTGAGAGAGGGCTCACGGAGGAGAATGAGCGAGAGGGCAAAGCTCGCGGGACCCTGCGTCCATGACGGAGCAGGGCCGGAGCTCGACCAGCGAGAGTGGTTGCCAGGTTGAAGTTGAGAGGCATTGCAGCGGATAATTTGCACGTATCAATGCGTAAGTTGAACCGTCCCGCTGGCGAGGTTGCCCTTCTGTATCCCGAATCAAGCGTCTAGGATATGTCGATGTATGGGAAGGACACAAGAGACTGTGACTCTGTTGGAACTGGTTTCTAGAGGAGGGGGGCGGCGGAGGGGGGATAAGTAGGGCGGCCTGTCGTGAAGAAAAATGGCGGTACGGCTGATAAGATAAGAAGAACCTCCGAAAATTATTCTCTGGTTTTGGTGTGACTCTACAAAAAGTTGTGCTGGACTGGGTTGTGACGCAGCTCAGCCCAGGAACAGGACAGGAACAGCTAACAAAAGTAGCTCCATACCACTTCAATGGTGGATAGATGCCTCCGATTGCTATCTAACTTGTCTGCCCCAACATTTTGGCCGTAAATGAGAAAATTTACCAAGATTCGATAGAGATCGTCCCTCACTAGTGGCTTGTTCAAGGGTCTTTCGTGGAGAATCCAAGGCACGAGTTGTCTAACACGCAGCTTTGATGCATTCCGTCGTCCCGTTTTGGCCCTGACAATCAGGACTTCTCTTATCAATTTTTGTGTATCTTGTTGAGTATATCCCACACTGAACTGTACCTGCAGCCAGATACCGAACATCATCACCTCACAGCTTATCATTCTTGCTGAGCTCCCCGGATCAAGCCCAGCTAAGCTTTATGGGTCCGGTTACGGCGACCCTTCAAGTACATACCTACAAAGAAACAAACAAGGATCACACCAGAGCAACGGTTGTAAGCAGCAAGGAAAATGATTCTACTGGTGCTCACAGACATCTGGAAGAGGTGTCAAGTTCTTGTTGACCCATTGAAAAGAAGTAAAACAGCCAATGCGGTGTAGTATTCTCCCATGCTAATGATGAAATGCCCCGACATCGCCGTCCACTTTGGTGGCATCGGCGGAATCAGCGGAGATATGTACCGCTTATGCCGCCGCTACTGTGCGCTTTGGCGGTGATAGGGCCGCTGGCGGAGTTTTTTTTCTGAGTCATGCGAGGTTCTGAATTTCATCGACTGCCAAGTAATGAGTCCGATATACGGTTGTGAATTACCAAATGTAAGTCCTCTTACTCTCAAATTTACAGCAATGGTACTATATCGGCTATATCAAGCTGCTGATTAGTATATAATGTCTATCGATACTAAGCAGGGGGACATAAGAGGTGCATTTAGACTTTACAAGAGCTAGGTACGGGAACACGCAATGAACCCACAGGATCCGCTCACAATGCGATGCGATGCGATACTCCGATAGACACTGAACAACTCGATCGTCAAAAAAGGCATCGAGACTGGCACACAAATGTCGGGATCCCGAATCCGCCGCTGATAACGTTATGTTTGACCCAACACGACAAAACATGTCATCTCATTAACTTCTATCATATCCAACTATCATAACTTACCCTATATCATTCGCTAACATGCTATTGGCCAATGTGACCACGTTCCTAAGTACCTACTAATCCAGCAAAATGATCTCAACAAAACTCGGCACCTGCAAGAGTAAATTGACAACAGAAAATGATTCATGGCTTTAAAATGGGGGAGGCAATGGATCTCCGAGACAATAACTGAGAGTTTCACAGCTGCATAACTATAAACTTAACTTTTCTTGGGAGCCACAGAGTAACCATGACGTTCATCATAAATGTTCAACTATAAGCAGTGAACTCAGTTAATTGAGGACAAAGTTATCACCAATACCAACCAATATCGACATAATTCAGCTTCAAAGAATCTTCCAAATATTTACTGAGTAATGCCGCCGACACAGTTTCAATGCATCCAATAGTGAAGACACTGGCAAACTTAGGTGTGCACCAAGAACATGAAACCAAGATCAGTATACCCAATAAGTGGACAAGATGTATCAGACAAAGTTTTTTATTCTATACTTTGGTTGACGTGTCTATGCCTCGGAACCACACAAGCTTTGTTGACGTGATATGAGGAGATCAAAGCCAAACTTATTCCAAGTCTTGGAGTCATATATAAGTAAGCTGCGCAGCATTTCTTGAGCAAACCCTGTTTGTTTTCTGGCCATGAACCATACCCAGCACATACAACACCCACGCGCTGACCAGAATGGAAATCAATATCTTCATAGTGCTGACCTGGTTCTTGGCCGGAGCTGTCTTCGCTTCACCATTGGTGAAACATAACAAAACTGAAGCACTGAGCAAAAAGCTCAAAGGTACCGACTTGCCTCGCCTTGAGCCCATTGATCGTCATAGGGACTATCATATATTTCCTCTTGAACCTGGTCTGCTTGCAGCTCCAGCAACCATAAACACCCCCTCCGTGGCTAGACGCATCATACAAAAGAGACCTGATACCGAAGAGAACGAGCCACAATTTAGCCAGATTCGCCAGTCTGGCAACAAGACCAAACATGAGCATAAGCTCCCAAAGCCCGACGGCTACATAGAAGTGTCGCTCGACAAGATGGAATATTCTGAGCATGAGAAGACTTTTACTGAGGGGCTTCTTAAAACCCTCAATAAAACTCTGGAACAGACCGAGAAACAAAATCCCACTGGTCATACTCAAATTATCGAAAACCCCAAGATGGTGCCATCCATATGGCGTGACTCTGTCAAGTCACACACTGAAGAAGATAAAGACGAGGACAAGGAACACGAGGAAGACGAAAGTGAGAGTGAGAGTGACAGCGACGACGAGGAAGATGCCAAAAAGGGTATTAAGAAAGTATCCAGAATGATCCAGAAGCGAGACGACGACAAGAAGGAGGAGGAGGAGGAGGAGGAGGAGGAGG